ACAGGGGATGGATGGTTGGGTATTCATCACCACAACATTTGTCCTCTTATAAGTTGCACTGGCCACCACTGCTACTATTACCTTAGGCTCAAGAATGGCTCCGTCTCTTCTAGCAGACCTTTCCAAGAATGAACAGAGCTGGTCTTAATTCTCTGCATCTTGGCCAATTCCAGACCACAGAATTTATTCAGACTTTTCAGAAGCCCCAGAGACCAGAATGTTAATAATATTTCCTGGACATGGTTGTCTGGAAGCCCAAGCCCATCATCTCATGTCCACTGCAGACGTGTCTCTCACCCTGCCTCTGTTTTGCTGCCAAAGTGACTGTACTTTGAGTCCACACACGGCTTTATGGTCCAGGCCAAGTTCATACTCCTGTTCTCAGGATCTCCACCTCTAGTCAGTCTGAAACCTGTCTTTCCGATGCCAGAACCTGCCTACCGTCAGGCAAGATCCTGCCCCAGAGCCGTCCCTTGGAAGACCACACCAGTATCTAATCCAATCCAAAATCCATACAGCAGGAGAGGAGTTATCTTATAGATGCCTTCTTGACCTTCCTAATTCTGATTGTCGTGTCCAACAGAATATACCTCATCTTAATAAGCAGGACACAATTCCTTTTAAAGAAGAATTGGTGAGACAATTTATCTTCCATTAAGTGGCAAATATTTCAGAGTTGTGCACAAGAGTGTACATCTCTGATTCCAGATATTCAGGAGGCTGAAGCAGGAGAGTGTTCAATCCCCAGTACCACAAAAATATTTTGAAAAATTGATGCATGCCATATCACAAGGTGTAAAGAGTATCATTTCTTCATTTTTCTTTTCTTTTTTTTTTTTTTTTTTTTTTTTTTTTTTTGGTACTGGGGATCAAACTCAGGTCTTTGCACTTTTGAGGCACTGAACTAAACCTGCGGCCTGAGATATTATGTCACATTGTTAAGCTCAATTCAACTAGAGGCCAGCTAGCAATAATGTGGAAAGGCCTTTCCCCATCCTCAGTAAATTCAAAATCAAAAGCAAATTCTGGATAAAGAGTCTAACTTCATGAATGTGAACAGCAGCAGGAAAATATATCAGGAGTTCCCTAATGCTGGTCACTTCTGATTCGGGGGTGCCACTTGAGACTATCCATTTCTCTTGCTTATTTCCCTCTCTAGCCCAGTTACTCTCATTCCATCACTCAAATCCACTCTTGCCTTAGAATAAAGTCCCAAACCCTCAACATGGACAGGAAGGGTCTGGGTGACTGCATCTCTTGCTTTTCCAGCTTTATTTTCACTTGCCCATCACCCTGGCACTCTGCTGGGCATAGGAGGCTTCTCAAGCAGGCACGGCCCAAATTCTCTAGTTCTCACTCTTATTCTTGCTGTCTTTTCTGTCCAGAAAACTTCATCTCCATTTCACCTAGATCTGTGGTTCTCATATGGGTGATTTTACCTCCCCAGGGGACACTTAGCAATGTTTGGAGACCCTTTCTTTTGGTCGTTACCAGTGGCATCTAGTGAGAAGAGATCAAGGATGCTAAGACGTCCAAATTAAGTGTCCTGCAATGTACAAGACCAGCCTCTATAACAAAGAAATCATCCAGCCCCAAACAAAAGTACTCAATCTTTAGACCTCAGTCTAAATACCACTTCTTCCAAGAAGGCCTCCCAAGACGCTTGAATAGTTAGAGTGTCCTTCCCTCCTTGCAGTACTTCCATTCTGCCCTTCTCCTTCACCGCACTGGGCCCGCTTGTGAATATCTGAGAGACTGTAAGCTCTGCCTTCCCCACTAGTCTGGTAGACCAGAGGACAGAGCAGAGTGTTGGCCCACACCCTGATCCCACTCCACTGGGCACCCAGAGCAGTCAGGTATCACAATCTTGCCAATTGTCTTGGCATACAGAGTACAGTGTTTTGCACGAATGACCTGTCTTTCTTTCCAGGGGTTATGAGGGTTTCTCTGGGCCTCAAATGCAGGCTATGGACACCCCAGTGAACAAGTGAAGTCTTGGGAGCCTGACACAAATGGGCTGATATCCCAATTCCATCACCTTCTAGTTGGGTGACCTTCACCAAGGTACTTAATTCCTCTGGAACTCAGTTTCATTGCCTATGAAAGAAGTATAAAAATACAACCAGTCTCATGGCGTTGTGAAGATTAAAAGACATAGTGTGTGTGAAGTACTGAGCTCCAGTTCTGACCCTGGGTAAGGGGTTAATAACTGAAGAGAACACACCATGGGCCAATGCGCTTCTATGGGTCTGCCACAACCCCCATGCTCTGGTTAATGGCCATAGGAGAGGGGAGGAACTATTAAGAAACAGCCAGTCAACCTTTCTTCATAAGTCCTTAAACTCTCAAATGTGGCTATGAACATCCCATTTTACCTACCCATGGGCGTCATATATGTGTTAATAGCTCTATACCCAAAGCAGAGAGAAACTGCCAAATCATCTGCAGGTAGGGCCAGGGGCAGCCTCTAGACTGCTCTCCAACTCCCCCACATAAGAAGCCTGCACCCTAACTTCTAACTGGATTTCACCTCTCACATTCCACCTTCAAGCCCAGTCTTTCCCTTTCCTTCCCCCGCTCTTTCTTTCCTTCTTTCTTTCTTTCTTTCTTTCTTTCTTTCTTTCTTTCTTTCTTTCTTTCTTTCTTTCTTTCCTTCCTTCCTTCCTTCCTTCCTTCCTTCCTTCCTTCCTTCCTTCTTTCTTTCCTTCCTTCCTTCCTTCCTTCCTTCCTTCCTTCCTTCCTTCCTTC